AGACAGACAGACAGATAGATGACATAGGGAGGTTGAAAAGGATGCTATATGCCCAAAACTGTAAACAGGATTTTGAAAGAAATGACCAGGACTTATAAGAGCCATGGGAAATTGCTTACTGTGGTAAGCAATATAAGTAAAAGAGACACTTTTACTTATATACTAGTTCTCTTTAACTTAAACTTCTTCTTTTTTTAAAGAAAACAACGGGGAAGTCACAATGTGATCTTTTCCATTTATATAGTTTTCAGCACTTATAAAGTATGAGATCATTGTTTCTGTCTGGAGGACTGCCAACTGGCTTAGCATGCAGTCTTTGAAAAGAAATGTAATTATATGTTAATTCTGGAAAATAAATCACTTCTACCTCTTTTGCTACTTTCCTTTCACCTTTCTAACCTCTGGAGCTTGTGGAAATTCCTCTGATGACCTTGGTAGCACTCAGCAGTCGACTTACTTGGATGACATCATCCACTTCCGCTCTAATAAGAGGACCGAGAAGGCCAAGATGCTCTTCGTATTCGCCCCGAGGGTCATGTTTGGTAAAAGTGCTGTCCAGGTACTTTCGGAAAACGACTTTCTTGTATGTGGTATCTTTTTTAATGTCATCACTGTCTTCATTGTCCATTGCACTGAAATGATAACAACAGGTTCTGTTTACAAGAAGAAATGAAAGTCTGCTCAAGGAATTCAGGAAATTATGTTTGTTTCTAAATATAGTATCTAGCTTAGAGAGACTTTCCTAGATCCATCATAGACAAATTAATGAATATGTAAATGAATGAAACTATAAGCCAGTAAATGTTTTCTTCATTCCCATGTCAGGTATTTGCTAGACAAGTCTCACTGTGATCCTTTAGACTAGGCCAAGACTCTTGTATCATTCTTTGTATTTCTATAGTATTATTGTAGTTTATGTAGTAAATTCCTATAAGTATTCATACATACATATATATGTATATAGTTACATGTGATACATATATATATATATTTTTTTGTTTGTTTTGTTTTTGTGTTTTGCACTTGGAGGCTATTAATATAAGACTCTGCTACTAGGGTGTAGTGTAAGGTCAGATATTGTACCTAGTTTGCTTATAATACTTTTTGTAATGTCCAGCATGTTATCTGGCATGTAGTAGGTAGTAGCACTTATTAATTTTTTTGCCAAACATATAAATTAATAAATGAGTCTAATTGTACATAAGATAATTTTTAACATCAAAAGTAGACAAAGCCATTCAGTAGGACCATACCAGATCTTGGGGCTGCCAACTAACAATGTTCAGCTGAATCAGAAGGTCACTTCTATGAAGGCTGGTGGATGGATGGGTGTTTTGTACCCTGAGAATGGCCACTCTGTACATTATTCTCAAGCTTCTTTTTTTTCAGTATGGGAGAGTTTTACAGCAGTAGGGCTTCCACATTGAGCTATATCCCAGCCTTTTTTATTTTGAGATAGGGTATTTCTAAGTCACTAAGTTTCCCAGGCTGGCTCAAACTTGTGATCCTCCTGTCTCAGTCTCCCAGAGTGCTGAGAATGCAGCTGTATACAGCTTCATCCAGCTTTTCCCAAGATTTTGGACACTACTCTGGGCAAAGATGCTTGCATATGATCCTAAAATGAAAGTAATAAGAGAAGAAATAGACAAATGGGATTGCTTCAAGTTAAAAAGATTATACATAACATGGGAAAGAGTCAACAGATCAAAAACACAATCTGTGAAATGAGAGAAAATATGTGTAAACCATATATTGATAAAGGCCCATATAAAATATATGAAAGTTCAAACAATTCAATAGCAAAAACCAAGCACTTTGATTTAAAAATTGAAAAATAACCTGTGTCTATTTCTCAAAGAAAGACATGCAAATTTCCAACAGGTATATGAAAAATGCTGAAAATTGCTAATAATCAAAGAAATCCAAATTATAAGCACAGTGAAATATTACTTCATAACTGTTAGGATGGCTGTTACAGAAAAGACAAAAGATAAATGTTGGCAGGATATGGAGAAAAGAGAACCTTTGTACACTATTGGCATGAATGTAAATTAGTTTACAGCCATTATAAAGAATCAATCTAAATGTCTATCAATGGATAAATGAATGAAAAAATGTGGTATATGTTCACAGTGGAATACGATAAAGCCTTTTACAAGAAGGCAATTCTGTCATTTTAACACCATGGAGATCTTCTGTTAAATAAAATGCGACAGATACAGAAGAACAAATACAATAGGATCTCACTTGTGTGGGACATTTAAAAGCACTGCATATGTGTTAAAGATCTTCACTTAGTTATTTCATAATTTATATGTATATTAAAACACCATGTTCAACACCATAAATGAAAGCGAAGAACAACAAAAACTATGGCATACATCTTAAAGAGTACTATGTAGCAATAAAACAAACTGACTGTTGATACACATAAAAAGCTGGATGATTCCTGAGAGAATTATATTGAATGGAAAAATGCTGACCCCTAAAGGGTGTATGTTGCACAATTCCATTTGTGAAATATTCTTGAAATGACAAAATGATAGGAATGGATCTCGGAGTAGTAGCTGCCAGGAGTAGGAGGTACATGGTAGGGAGGGAGATAGATGTGACTGTACAAGGACAAGAGGGATTTTTGTAGGATGGAAAGGTTCTGTATCTTGATACACTGGTTGTGATGTGATAGATAGAGTTTTAGAAGCTGTTACCACTGATAAAAACTGGGTAAAGGACACAAAGAATCTCTGTGTTTTATTCTTCAC